GGGGAGGGGGGTGGGGGGGTTGGGTGGTGGGAGGAGGGGGGCGGCGTGGTGGTGGTATTTGTGTGAGGGAGTCGCGTGGGATGGACGCGCGGTTCGCGGCATATTTTCTTTTCTTTTCCTCGTCGCGCCATTTTCTCTCCCTTTTCCGGTGGCGGGCACCGACCGCTCGGGCGGGGCCCCGCGCGCCAGAGATAGATATTCCCTTCGGTCGGCCTGGGCTGCGCTTGGTCCTCGTGCACCGCCCGCGGTGGCCACCCGTGCGCTCGGTGGGGCTTCAGCAGGGCCTGCCCGTCCCATTAGCGTTTCAAGGACCAAGAGCAATTTGCATCGAAACGCAGCTAAACCTCCGGGCATCGCAGTTTCACCGTTTAGATTAAAACGGACGGTGTTTTTGTTCGTTTGGATCAGCCGCCCGTCCGCCATTCGCCCTCTTTTAATTTTGTGTTGGTAGTGCGTCCAACGGGCTGATCCATTTCATGATCGTGTACGCTTTAGATCATGCCAGCGGCCATGTCGTCGTCCTGGTTTTGGTGTTCCAGCGTGCGGAAAAGGTTTGCTCGCGCGGGGAAAAGCGGCCTAGCGCGCGGAAAAGGTTCGCGCGCGTCGCGGACAACGCTCGTTATAAGAAGGTGCTCCCTCCACACTCTGTCTGCCGCCCACTCGTCTCGCCCCCTCTCACTAGCCTCGCCGCTTCCGTGCGACCATGTTGATGCGCCGCCTGGGCGCTTCGGATTTTCGCGGAGTCCGCGAGCGCCGCTCCGGCGCTTTCTCCTCCAAAATCTGGTTTCGCGAGAAACGCCTCATCCTCGGCACCTTCGACACCGCAGAGGAGGCGGCCCGCGCGCACGACGCAGCGGCGTGACGCCTCCTGAGGCCTCGTCGGGATATGAATTTTCCCGACGTGTCGAGCCAGCGGGCGCAAGATCTCGCGCATCTCCCGCGGCTTTTCACCGACGAGGATCGTCGTGTCCACCATAGGCGGCAGCGTCGCCTTACCATCGCCGAGATGGACGTGGAAGCAATGGTGGTGTGGCGCGAACGCTTCCCACAGTACATCATCGACGAGGGCCAGTTCTACAATAAAAATAGGTTGGAGAGGGACGCGAGGAGGACGGAGCGAGCCGCCTACCGGGAGGACAAGCATTCGCAGAAGCAGGCCGCTTAATTGAAACTGAAGCTATGAGAAACATCGGGTTGGAACTTCGAAGACGAGCAGTATGCTGACGCCTACATTCAGACGTCGAAGAAGGACATAGTCGGAGTCGGAAAGCGATGCGTAGTTGGTCTTTTCTTTTATCTGTGTATGCTAGAACTAATTTTTTATCAGAAAAAATGGCGGCGGCGTCGGCGACGAAGCAAGCGGGCGAGGATGTGTTGTTTGATGTGGAGAGGCCAATCCAATGTGCCACCGACCAGCGTGTTGGGGAACGCAGTAATTTCAAAAAAAAAATCTACGCGCACGCAAGATCATGGTGATGCATAGTAACAAGATGGGAGAGTATTGTCTAAATACCCTCGTAGACTGTAAGCGGAAGTGTTATAACAACGCGGTTAATGTAGTCGTACGTCTTCATGATTGACCGATTCTAGTACCAAAAGTACGACACTTCCGCGATCTGCACACGTTCGGCTCGGTGACGTCCCACGAACTCACAATCCAGCAGAGTATCGAGGAAGAGCTTCGTCAGCACGACGGCGTGATGACGATGATGATGATGCTACCGGAACAGGGCTTCGCCTAAGCACCGCTACGATATGATCGAGGTGGATTATGGTGAAGGAGGACACCGCACACGGCTAAGAGATCAATGATCAACTTGTGTGTATATGAGATGCCCCCTGGCCACGTATATAAAGGATGGAGGGAGGAGGAGGCCGGCCTTCATAGGGCGCGCCCAAAGTGCCCTGGTCCTAGTAGGATTCCACCTCCTACATGAAATAGGAAAAAGGAAAGGGAGAAGGAGAAGGAAGTAAGGAGGCGCCCCTTTTCCCTAGTCC